TCTCAAAACTATATCTAATGCTTAATTTTAGTACACACCATTGAAAGTCAATGTGTTCAATACCTAAACTATCAATTTTGATCTCAAATCTTAAATTGTGTAAAGGACACTAAAATGAAACAAAAATTAATCTTTTATGTTTTTCGAAAAATTAAAAGTTTAGATAATAAAACGGACCAAAATTGACTCAAAAAACAATTTCAATGTTAACCCAAAAGGCTAACCTTGCATTCAATTCGCCCTTGTTGATCAACAGCCAATCTCTGATGATTCCCCTTATCCTTCAACAACAACAAAAAGAACAAAATCAAGGTTAAAAAAAGAGGATCAATCTTTTACACAAAACAAACAAAACCCAGTAAAAAGAAGACGACTATAACCTGGAACCCTCTAAGAACCGGATGGTTAAACCTGCAGTAAGAACCATACTTGCAAGTCCCAGTTTTAAGATAAAAACTACAATCTTCAGCGTAAGGCCTTAAAGGGAGTTCATTGTTCCCCTCAATCTGCAACTCTTCTTGAAGGTTTTCACTGCCACAGTCATTGATATCTCCATCACCGTAGCCATTCCCTTCCAATATCACTTTTTTAAGGTCCTCAACAAGGCTTTCTTCTTCTTTTTCACTTCCATGGTGAAGATTGCTCAAAAGGGTTTCTTCTTTTTCCTGCTGTGTCGATGAGTATTCTTCGTAACTCCCCATCTTTTTTTTTTGGTCTTCTTTTTTCCCCCCTCAAATTTCAGGGAAGGTAACTTCTTAAACCCTAGTTAACGTGTAGATAGGGATGGCAGAAAAATCCAAACTCGACGCGGAAAACCGAAAATTGAATTAAACGGGACGGGAAAAAATTGTTTATGTTAAACGGGGACGGTAAAAAATCGTTTATGATAAACGGGGACGGGACGAGGATGGGTTTGGTAATCCCCGTCCCGATTACCCGATTACCCGGTCCGATACCCGCCCCGATATCCGACCCGATAAATATTAAAAATAATTATTATTTATTTATATATAATATTAATAAATTTAATTTAAATTAATATATATATAATATTAATAAATTTAATTTAAATTAAATATATATATATATATATATATTATATTTATATATTTAATTTAAATATATATATATATATATATATAATATTTATATATTTAATTTAAATATATATATATATACCCGACCCGATACCCATTTAAATAACCGTTTAGGCTAAACGGGGATACCCGTTTCCCCGCGGTTTTCTCCGATTACCTGATGGGGATCCCCGTTTAAATCCCCGCGATTTTTTAAGCGGGGACGGGTACGGATTTTTTAAACGGGGACGGGGACGGGGGGACCAATACCCGGCCCGAACCCGGCCCGTTGCCATCCCTACGTGTAGAGCGTATAAATTGTAAAAATCCTTGCTTTTTTTACTGTTTGCAATTAAAATAAATACAAAAAGGATAACATTTTAGATTCGGTGTAATTTAAAATATTAATTTTTTAATATTTTTTATTGAATTAAGAATATTTATAAATAAAAAATATTACAAAAAATTAACCTTTTCAACTCAATAAAAAATATCAAGAAAAATTAAAATTTTAGATTACGTCGTAAGACAGAGCCATAACTTAATTTTAACAGAGGTCAATTCTTTTTAACGACTTTAGATTTTATACATAACTTTATTTTTATCAGTTATTTGTTTCAAAAAATATAAATGATAAAACCAAATATGCATATTAGTTATATCATTTCTACGAAAATAACAAGCAGAAAATTAGAAATCAAATTAAATTAAATAATAAAAAATATTATTTTAAAAGATATTAAAGACGTAAATATCACATAATCATAATAAAACACGTCACTCCTTCAAATCTCGAAATGCATCCACGAGTGATATTGTACTAAATATACTAAAATTAAATATAAGATCAAACAACAATTAATGAATATACTATTGCTTAATTAATTACTTTTAAAAATTATCGCTCAATTGAATTTGGATCACTTTAGTAAATTTATGATAATCATAGTAAAAAGGGGTTTACTTTTGTTGTGGAGTTGATGGTTCTATCGTAATATTTTATGCCGGAATAATAATACTTTACAACTTATAATATTATGTTTAAAGAAATTGAAAATCTCTATAATTTTTAGGGTAAATTACACGTTTAATACCTAAACTATTACTTTTGCTTTGGTTTGGAACCTAAGCTTTATTTTTTAACGTTTTAATTTAGGTTTTATTTTTGATACCTCGTCGTCAAAAACTTACTGGTGAAATTAACGTATTATCATAAGATAATGTCACATAATCGTTGAAAATAAAATATCTTATCAAGAGCTTTGTTAATTTTTAAATGACGAGTACCAAATTGAAACTTAAATTGAACGTTAGACATGACCTTTAAAAAAATAAAGTTTAAGTATAAAAACATAATAAAAATAATAGTTTAGATACTAAATTTGTAATTTATCCAATTTTTATACTAACATAAAAATTAAAATTATAAATTACAACAGGAGCCGGGCCCCTCCACCCCTCATTACGTCCAACTGAAAATATTAAAAAAAATTAAATTTTCGATCACGTCTATTCTCGACCGTTACTTTACATTAAAATTAATACATCATACCTTAAAGTTTCATGGATTGCCAAATTAGAATGGAATCTAAAATTGTCATGGTGATTTTATTTTTTCCAATCTTATTTTAACTATCAATTTCAGAGAAATTATAGTATTTTTATTTTTTATCTATTCTGTTTTTATTATGAAATTATTGTTTTTTATTAATTTAATTATGTGGTATGTTAATAAAAATATAGATAAAATATATAAATTGTCCTTCAACTATAGGATATTGCATTATTAAGTCTTTCAATTATTAAAAGATATGAAATAGTCTATTGACTATAGAGTGTTGAGTTTTTCGACTATTAAAAGTTACAAAATGATCACATGAATATTCATATGTTCCAAATTCATATTTTTTTTGTTAAGAAAATTGGTGACGATATAAATTGGACGTTAACCTATTGATTACGTTTGAGATTTTAGGATAAGATTTTATCATATCACAGTCAGCAGTTTAACGTCTAACTTAGACCGTCGTTTGAGATTTTAAGATCAAATTTTATCATATCACAGTTAACAACTTAACGTCCAGCTTAGATCGTCGTTAATTCTTTAACAAAAAAGAACGAGTTTGAAACATATGAATAATCGAATATTCATTTTGTAACTTTTAATAATAAATAGTTTAATAAAATAATATTATATATTCAATGAACTGTTTTATAATTTTTAATAATCGAAAGACTAAAAAGAACATTACCTATAGACGTGAACCATTTATATATTTTTCTCTAAAAAAATTATCTTATAATCGTGGAATATTTTAATTAAATTTAAATTAAATTATTCAAGTTAATTAAATATCAACCAAACAAAAATAAAACTCAAATTCAAGTTAATTAAATTATTCAAGCTAAATATGATTTTTTTTACCAATGTTTTTGTTGGCCGTTACAGTACTTTCACAGTACTAACGTGACGATTCATGATATTAACATGATAATATATGATGATTGACAACGTGATTAATAACATGACATATAAATTAAATTGACAACTCAAACATAACAAATAAAATGATATTTCAATATCGTGGACCGTAACATTGACATCGTAAATTATTACATCAATATCGTAATGTTCAACGATAAAAATATTTGTCAAATGACTATATTAAATTTATTTTTTGAATTAGAAAATGGCATATAAAGGGAATCATTTTCTTCGCCGCCTTCTTCACTTCTTGCTTCGGCACAGTCGCAGCCAGCACCCCGTTCTCCATCGACGCCTTAACTCCGTCGGTCTTCGAGTTCTCCGGCAACTCGAAACTCCGACGGAACTTGCCTCGACAACGTTCCCTTCTATGCCACTTATCATTCTCGTCATCTTTTTCCTCTTTCCTTTCTCCATATATCTTGAGCACCCTCTCATCATCGACCTCGACGTTCTCTTCCTCTTTCTTGAGCCCCGGAAGATCCAACGTAAACACGTGGGCTTCCGGGGTTTCTTTCCAGTCCGTCGGGGTGTTCAAGACCGGACATCTGCTGACCATCGAAAGGAAAGGGTCATAGATTTCATCACCAAACAGTCGAAACATGAGAGCCATTGTTTTCTATGAAATGGACGATATAGCTATGAGAATATATATATATATATATATATATATATATATATATATATATATATAACTTTCTTGACACATCATGTATGTTCTGTTGTTAATTAGAACTCGAACATTCTTTGGAATTGCCAGTGTCTGGATCTCTTGCTTTTTCCTTGGTATTATCTGATGCAAGTTCGAGAAGTTTATGGATAAGCTAATTACGTAAGCATGCATTATTGTTCTCTGAGATGTCTGTTTCCGGCCTGGATAACCCTTCAATGTTCTCTTTAGGCCCATACATGTTGTTGTCAACGGGGCAGGTTAGGTTAGGGTTTTGGTCTGACTTGATCCGAAAATATGTAACTTTCATTGAAATCCGACCTGACCTAAAAATTTTATGTTCTCCATCCGTCCCGACCGGACCTGAAAAATACATATCCTCCACTCCATTCCGGTCCGATCCGAAATTTCGAGTATAAATCCAACTAGACCTGACCCAACCAAGTATAAAATGAGGACTTAATTAAAAATAATAATAAAACTTTTAAGAAAATTACATTATTATCCTCGGTTGGGTAAGGTAAGAGTTTTTTACCCTGCGACTGAACCCGACCCGATCTGACCTTATCCCTTAAAAAAAATCCAACCCAAACTCAAAATATTGGGGGAATCGACCCTATCGAATTGAGTAGGGTCGAAATCTGTCGAATTCAGGTTAAATTGTCATTCCTACCCATACCCTAGTTTAATTTTATCACATTGAACGTAACCAAGATCTTTATTTTCATGAAACAAAATGTAAACATTTGTATCTTACAACACGCCCTTCTTATAAAAGAACACAAATGTAAACAGCAACAGTTAATTGGTCACGGTATCCATGAATTCTTCATCACTTGCAATAGCCTCCAATGTCTCTGGGAAAAGGCACATTTCAACATCAATGCTTCCTTCTTCTGCTCCACAAAACAATGTCAGCATTCCGTCCACCTTGTTCGATGACCCACCTCGTATCGCCATCGGCTTTCCCCATCCGAAATCGTTACCGTACATATCGAATCGAGGGGAACTACTCGTGAGCAGAGCTTCGCCATGGCTCATAGTTGCCATGTTTGGGCTCGCTGGCCAATACTCTAACGAATTCTTCAAACTTTCTCCGGTCATCGTGGCAATCGTTCTATTCATTCGCCACGCCGGGTTTCCGATTCCTTGTTCCGTCAGCTCCTTCGGTTTCATAGTTAAAGATGTTCCTAAAATTGCATTCCCGAAATAGTTGTCCGGAAGCTCCGGAAACCGTTGTCTAGCACCGACTACGATACGATATTTGGTCTCTTCATTAGGGTCTAAGCTTCTGTTTCGGATAACAGATCGCCAAACATGAGACAACAGAGCTTGGAGAGACGAGACCTTGTCAGTTCCGATATCGGCGTTCGCTTTCGCTTTGAGTTTCGCAACGGTTTTCTTTGAGAAATGGAAAATCCTTTCGCGTGTAGATGGTTGAACCACATCCTCGTTGCATCGTTCGACATCGAGGCAAGTCCGGGGAATACGAATCGGGGTATCCATACCATCGGGAAACCAACGTCGGAAAACAGGGGGCTTCGATAAGTTAATCGAACCTCTAGAAATTTCGGACCACGAATTAAGGAAATGCCAGAACGACGTGCCGTCCGCCACGACATGATTCATGCTGCAACCGAGGAATATACCATCCACAAGATCAGTTACTTGTATCCCAAGTAAAGGGTTGTCGACACCCTCGTAGTTACGGATCCCGTTCAACGCGAAACACGAGTGAACAACAGACGGGACGTAACCGGTCTCGACGACGTCGGAAACGGTTACTCCATCGGCTGTAGCGTGTACAAACACAGCGCCGGCATCGTTGCAGTCTATGAAAAAGGAAACGGTGTCATCGTCTTCGTGTCGGGTCGTCGCTAGGCGACCCGCCAGCAGCGGAAAATGGACTAGGGCGTCCGAGAGAGAGGTTCTCAAGTGGTGGATCAGTGTGTCCCTGTCTTGCACAGGTGTGCCGAAAACGAATCCCTTTTGGATGTACCCTATTTGAAGGAGCCGGAGATCCCATGGATTTAGCTCGATCCTCCCACATGATTCCTTGCTGTCTGCAACATGGACCGTACTAGTCGATATCGATCGCACAGCTGCCATGTTTCTCCGGTAAAAGATGTTCGGTACGGTCAATTCGAGTCGAACCGAGCGGAAGCAATGAACCAGACAACTGATGCAATAAACCAGAAACAGAATTCAGACATACAAAGATGTTCGGTATGGTCAACCTTTACCTATGTTCTTCCCTTGATTTTTTTCACACTATTTTATGTGCAATGATTTGTGTAAAATAATAATTAAATTTGGTTGGGTTGTTGAAACACTCCAATCTAGTGGTGGACTTATTCCTTATTTGATTCCCCTCTTTACTGTTTGGGTAAATTAAGTATTTAATACCTAAACTATCAGTTTTGATTCGTTTCAGTACTTAAACTTTCAATTTTTTCAAAATCATACATAACGTTTAGTTTTCATTTCATTTTAAATCACTAGAATACGACTTCATGTACTATAAAAGTTTTATTCAAGATTTAGTTTTTTTTGCCCTCCGGTTAAAAGTCTTTGCTTTGACTAATCATGACCGACCCGAGTTGCACACCTAGCTTTAGGGTGAGTTTCCTAGCGGGAATTTTCTGCATACACAAGGACTAGAACCTGAGACATTCCTTAAGCGATATCACACCGCTTACTACTTGAATCAACTCTGTTGGTGATTTAAATTATTTTTTATTAATCTTGGATAAGTATAAATTAATATATGCTGAAAGATTTAAATTAAAGAATAACTAAAGGTGTTTTTTCTGAATAAATAAATAATTTTTTAATATAAGAGAAGTTTATAATTATAATTACAGAAAATAAATGTATACATAATTAAAACTAATTTAAATATATCTAAGAATTAAATTAGAATATATCTTAAAGGTGTTAAAAACCCAAATTAATTTATATAAACTAAAATATATTGATTATTAAGTTGTATAAATATAGTTTCTTCACTTTCTCTAATTGAATAATTGGATTTGAGATCTAACATGAGTTATTATTACCCATCTCACTGTGCTCGTACGTATATACATTGGAGATAATAACACGTCAGATCGAATCGGATATTTTTGATAAATTTATCCAATTTGAAAAAAAAATTCTACTTAATTTTAAAAATATACACTCTTTACTTGATCCGATCTAAAGAGCATATTTTTTCTATCCAAATTCGAATCAACCCAAATTTAAAGAGTATTGACCCGACCTTACATGATATAAGATAAGGACCTAATTATAGAGAGGGATATTATAGTAATTATTCATAAATTTATGTGAAAAATATACTTTCACCCAAACCCAACCTCGATCCGATCTCACTACTTTATAAAATTCGAGTATAGCCAACTCGGCCTGAACTCCACTATTTTTTGTAAAAGAATATGACATTATCTAATTGGATCTAGTCGAAATTCATCGATTTTGAGTTAAATAGATATAAGGGTAAAGTACGCAAATGATCCTCAGCTATAGAATATTATTTTATTAAATTCATCGACAATTAAAAGTTACAAAATGATCATCTGACTATAGAATATTGCTTTGCTAAGCCCCTCAACTATTAGAAGTCATAAAATGATCACCTGATTTTTTATTATGTTCCGAACTTATCATTTTTCTGTTAAAGAAAAATCGATTGTTGTTTAAGCTAGACGTTAACATGGTGACTAGATCATGATAGTTGTTTGAGATTCTAGAATCAAATTTTATCATATCATAGTCAACAAATTAACATTCAACTCAGAATATCGTCTATTTTTTAACAGAAAATTATGAATTTAGAACATAATAAATAGTCAAACGATCATTTTATAATTTTTAATGATCAAGGAACACGAAAAAGCAACATTCTATTGTCGATAATCATTTTATAACTTTTAATAAACAATAAAATCAATAAAATAATATCATATAATCAGAGATCATTTATGTATTTTACCGTGAGTATAACGGGGTTTCGAGATTTCACTTGATATATATATATATATATCATTTACCAAAGTAAAATTAGGGCAACAAAGTTGGGTGGTGGGCTCCAAATGACGACAGTGCCCTTCATATTTACAAGTATCATATATATAAAGTATACCTCACTGACATTATAGTATAATAAAGAGTATTTTTTCATCCATTCAAAATCCACCATTATTTCAAAATCCGATTTCATCTCTTCAAACTCGATCTCTCTTCACAAATCGACCCTATAAAAAAAAGATAAAAATTTGTTAGTCTCGAATAATCAAATCACATCGAATTCAAGTAGAGAGATCGAACTCTGAATTCGAACACGGTGATGTACCTTCAACCTAGGGCGCTTTTCGGCATTGAGTTTTCGGACTTCATACCGAATACGCATGCCGAAAAGCCTATTCCGCCTCTTCTCTTTGTATCTCAAAACACTCGCTTCTCTATGCCCCTTCTTCCGGTCCTCTTTTCCGTCTTCTTCTTCCTTAATCTTCGAACCGCCCGTCATTTCCGGTACCTTCCACACGTTCGAAGCACTTCCCGAACCGTCGGATAGAACCTGCCACGATCACGGATGTTCGATTTCATATTCGAGTCGAACACATATAGAAAGACACATTCACTTAAGTCTAATGACTATGTATGAACTAGGTATATTCCCAAAGGCTTGATATGCTGTATTGGGCAAAGATCATGAACAAGTTATTTTAATAAGTTTATTATTTAATGATATGGTAACTAAAAACTATATAGTATAATACATTTAATAACGACCAACCAACAAAATGGTGTTAAGGTGTGCGCACATTATTAACTATTAAATATTAAATTATTTGATAGTTACAGTTGATTTAATCGATTGATTTGAGAAAATAATTTGATTAATTGTTTATATAAAGGTGTTTGATAAAATTTAACTGATAATTGATATGAGTAAAATAATAAATAAGGGTATAATACATTTAGTTGTTAAGTACATATCTGTTTTATAATATTTTAGTCTTTATTGAGGAGAAATTATTCAGATAAAATATTTTTAACAAATAATTAAAAATTACTTAAGAAAATTAATGAGTATTTTTAAAAATTTTGAATATATTTTAAAATTTTAATATTTATAAATATTAATCTTATGAGATTAATACATATTTTTAACTTTGTATAAAATATCAATACTATACTTTTTTTTACTTTCAAATTTTGCTATATTTTCTTAACTAAAAAATATTTAAGAATCTACAACTAAAAATAATAATAATAAAATAAAGTTTCAACTTAAATATATTACGATAAATATTATTTCATTTTATTAGGTTTATGGTAAGGATATAATTATGAAAAAAATAAGGTCAAATATATTATTTAACATATTTTTTTTCAATCAGCTCTTTTAAATTACTGGATTTTTTAACGTTTTCATTTTTAACTTATTTTGTACAATAATTTTTTAAATATATTTATCAAACACTTAAAATAAAGAATTTAACTATCAGTTAACAATTTATGCTAAAATAAACTAAAAACTCTTTAAAAATTATTTGCCAAAAACTCTCTTTTAAATATTATTTTATAATTATCTTATACTATTAAAAAAATTATGTGTTTAATAATTAAACTATTAATTTTAATTTATTTTTATACATAAATTTTTAAATTTTTAAAATCATACTAGAGTAAATCCATAACCCATATTAATATAAGGAAAATAAATAAAGAAATGATTGATTAGGGGCTAAGATCTTACATTTGCATGCAAGTGAGGGACAGTTTGAGGGGACTCCCCTTCGATGTAAAGGGTACCCATATCTGACCAGGCATTCATGATCTCCTCGTAATCAAGCTTCAAAGCCAACTTCTTCGTCTTCCTCCTATTCCACCATTCACCGCGGTCACAACCACCGCTGTCTCCGCCGCTACTCACCTCTTCCATCTCCTTCTTCTCCACCACCTCAGAATAAACCACCCACCTCTCCTCACTCTCATCCCTCCTCTCCTTCCCTTTCATGGCCGTCCGTACTAGCGACAACCTCGTACGATCGTCGCAACCGCCGTTACACCCGTACGTCGTCAAAGAAGGAGACAAGGAACCCACTTCCGACGTCCCCGTCGTCGTCGTCGCCTCCTTCTGATTCTTGTAATTATCACTTCCCTCGCTGTCCAAGATACCGTTTAGCGTACAGGCGTGACCGCCGTCTTCCTCCGTCGTGCCGAAGAGCATGGAAACATTATCGTACTGTGCGTCTCTGTCTTCGACCAAATTATCGGGGTGAAGTGGGGAAAGATTGACCTGTTTGTCCGTAACCTCTTTTTTCCCGTCTTCTTCGCTATTCCCGGCGGCCACCGACATCGTAGGTGGGTTTTCTTCGAGGCGATGAAGGCTGAGGTACTTCGATCTCCTCGTTTTACTTCGGGTTTTACGAGAATGTTTCAAAGAAGAACTACGAGCTTTGGGTTTTCTTTTGCTTCGCCTTACACTGTTGTTTTTGTTGCACATATTTGTGTTTCGATGCCGAGAAAATAATGGAAGGAAAAAAAATAAGAAAGAAGGGATCTTTGAAGAAAGAAAAGACACGGGGATACTGTAATGAAGGGCAAGGGCTTTAATGTCGGAAAATTACAGTGGGGGTGGGGATCAGCTGATTGGGGTGGCACTTTATTTACACGTGGAAGAAGATGATTGGGTGGAGAAGTAGATTGTGCTGTTATCTGGATTTCGTCTCTCTAGATAGGGTTGGGGTACTTTGGGGGTATAACAATTGGTCCAAGACTTGGAAATCTTTGATTTTTGCTTAATGGATAATTTTATTAGATTATATTTGTAGGGTTAAATAAACTTTTATATCAAAAAAATTAATTTTTTTAATAGAGATTGGGTGGAGAAGTAGATTGTGTTGTTATCTCGATTTCGTTGGATTTTTTTCGAGTTGAAGGACCATATTAATCCAGCAAGATAAGATGAGGACCTACTATACATTTTTACCATCATTTGATTATATATTGATGGTTAAATCTTAATAATTTTTAAGATATTATCATCACGAGGCACACTGTGATCTTATAAGATGAAATTTGTATACTTTAAGAGTTAATTGCATTATATATCCTTGGACTATGATCTTCATTTTGAATTGTTCACTAAACATTTGAATATTTCAATTTCATCCCTAAATTATGACTCTCATTCTATATTAGTTCGTAAACTTTTGAACATTCTAATTTTATAACTTTTGAACATTCTAAATTTATCACTAAATTATCACCCTCTTTCTAAATTAGTCCTTAAACTTTTGAATATTCCAATTTTGTCCCCAGATGCATCCAAATATGGAATCAATTTCAAGCATAATTTGACCTAAATTTTGTTTTTTCAAACATATAATAATATAACTTGGTCTAACAAATTTATTAACGATGAATGTGATTAGTGTATACGTATAGTTTGGGATAAAATTGAAATAATCAAAAGTTTGAGGACTAATTTAGAATGATAATCATAGTTTAGGGATGGAATGGAAACATTTAAAAGTTTAGGGACTAATTTAAATTGAGAGTCATACTTTGAGGATATGTGGTACAATTAACTTTATTTTAAAATAAAATTCTAAAGAAAGCTATTAAAAATCTATAATGATTTTAAAAACTCTATAAAAATATTTTTTTTAAATAACAATTTTTTTGAAAATGTCACTTTACAGCATTGTGATATAACATATGATGTCAATTAGTCCCAAAAAAACTATTAAATTTAATAATCAACTTTAGTCAAAGAAATGAATGGATGAAATCTCAAAATATATGAGCTTAATTGAGTGAAAAAGTAGAGAATTAATTTTTAGAAAGTTTTAAAAGTTTGAGGACTTCATACATATTTAAACTATTAATGTATTTCATTTATTAATTAACTAATTCATATCAAATATCGAAAAAAATCATCACCTCACATCAGTGGTTAAAGAAATCAACTGGTCGCACTAGATCCCTTAAGCAAGGTCAGGGGTCCGAATCCTGGCGTAAATGGAGCAAACTGGGTTGGGAGGGTCGCTCTCGCCTCTGTAATACCCGATCTGAATTAGTCGGTCAATATATCGGATACCAGTGATTAATTTAAAAAAATCATTGTTGTTCCTAGAGGTTATGGGTTCGAGTACCAACGATTGTAGCAAAATGATTGAGAGTTCATTGTCAAATGGTTGAGAGTATTAAAAACAAACATAACTCTGCTAGAACTTGAGATCTCTAAGAAGAAAAATTGTTGAAAATTACACATGATTTTAATAATACATTGATAATTATAATTAATTTTTATTTAATTTTTTTAAATCTCAATAGAAAATTTTGATAAAACAATATTAATAATGGATGACGAATTAATTAATTCCTATTCCTTATTTCCTTGAATATTATTAAATATTCGTATTTTCCTAATTTATTTATTCTACTTATTATTTAGCTAAATAAGCATAAATGAAATTGATGGAAAAAGGGGTTAGTGTCAACTTCAAAAGTCAAAATCAAAAACCCAAAAAGTTTTATCCTTAGATGAGTCTATGGTAGTGAAACAAAAATCAAGTTCCAAAGGCTTTATCTTTTTCTTTTTCCCCCTCTTCATTTTTAAAATTTATAAAATAGTCATCCAACTATTCATTATATTTTAAAAACATCATTTTTTTATTAAAAATTGGTAATTGTCTAAGCTGAACGTTAACATTATGACGGAGATATGATAAAATTTGATCCTCAAACAACTATCATATCTCAGTCATAATGTTAACGTCCAGCTTAGACAATTGCCAATTTTTAATAGAAAATGACGAGTTTAAAACATAATGAAAGTCGAATGACCATTTTGTAACTTTTAATAGTCGAAGAAGTTAACAAAGCAACTATCAACTATCATTATGTTTTAAACTCGTTTTTTTATTAAAAATTGATGGTATTTTGAGTTGAACTTTAACATGTTGACTTTGATATGATAAAATTTGATCACATAATCTCAAACAACTATCATATCTCAGTCATAATGTTAATGTCCAACTTAGACAATAGCGAATTTTTAATAGAAAATGACGAGTTTAGAACATAATGAAAGTCGAATGATCATTTTGTAACTTTTAATAGTAAAAGGAGTTAACAAAGCAACATTATATAGTCAATGGATCATTTTATAACTTTTAATGGTTGAGAGATTTAATGAATTAGTACTGTATAATTAGGGGACCATTTGTGTACTTTACCCTTAAATTTTTTTTGTAAACAAAAGTGTGATCTTTTAAAATAGTTTAATAAGTGCTTAATCATTTTGAAGATTCTACTTTTTTTTAATATTATTTCTTTATTTAAATATATTAAAAAAAATTAGATAACATATTTGATTTATTTGAACTTGACTTGAATATCATATCATCTATTTATCATCGAGTCATGTTTAAAAAGGATCCATCTAACTCAAAACTTGAACTGAATTTTGAGATAAATTACACACTTGACCCGACACGCACATATTTTATTTTATTCGATAAAATAAGGATCTAATTGAAAAAAATAAATAAAGAGATAGATATTATTACAACTATCTATAAAACATATAAGGCACACTAATATTAGGGTAAACTACTTATTTAGTATTTAAACTATCAGTTTTGCTTTGTTTTAGTACCCAAACTTTTATTTTTTTTCAAAATCATACCTAACGTTTAGTTTTTATTTCAATTTAGAACCCTTCATTAAAAACATAATGTGTTTAGTACATAAACTATCAATTTTGATCCGTTTTAGTATTTAAGTTTTAACTTTTTTTAAAAATTTACATCAAATTTTGAATAGGGGCACTAAAATGAAACAAAAATTAAAGTTTTTAACGGTGGGGGTATTAAAATGAAACAAAAACTGAATTTTAAGTATGATTTTGAAAGAAATTAAAAGTTGAGGTACTAAAATGGACCAAAACTGATTGTTTAGTTATTAAACACATAATTTACCTATTATATTATTATCTTGGATCATGTCGAGATTTTTGCCCCAAGCATGAATTCGGATACAATCTAACTTTATTCTAAAAAAGCTTAATTTGATTCGACTCGAATCTAAATTTTTAAAATAATAAAAAAAAAAACTCAATTCTATACAATCAACTGAAAGTCTGCAAACCTGTCAAGTCTATATGTCGTGTCCATGGACGGACGAATAATTTCATTTATGAGGAGTGAGTTTGCAAAAACTTGAGAGCGATATAAACTTATATAATTTTAAGAGACAAAAATAGATTTTCAATAAAGATATAAAATATATAAAAATTTAAAATTTTTAAGACAATCTCCACTGACTCTACCTCGATGCCCATGTCTAACCCTAGCATAAAGGCATGTAGGGGTGAGTGCATAGATGGGGTCCCAATAAGGCTTTTCTATCAACATTTTTTTGGCCACATGCAGGTTCAACACTTGTACAAACCTCCAAATTGGACTTTGTCAACCCTCGATTCTTTTGGTTCTGTATTTGATATAATGTTTTAAATTATTAAATCTTGAAATCCAAGAATAATATATATATATATATAATGGTTTAACGGTACAATGATATAATTGAAATAAAAATCAAAGTTTAATATTATAATTGACAAAATTAAAAGTTCAGTGATGAAAACGATACAACGCCAAAAATTAGGTGATATCTGTTATAATTCACCCTTGATTATATAACATTATTAATAGTATATTAGGTGATTCATGTGTTTCCTGGCCTACAACTAAATAATGAATATGAGGACAAGTACCAATTTTCATTAGGTGAAACTGTATAAAAGGCATGCTTTTTTTGGGTAAATTATGTGTTTAGTATATAAATTATCAGTTTTAATATGCTCTAATATATATACATATATATTATTCTTTCATATTATAATGTTATGTAATATATTAAACATAATATAAAATTATGAAATATATTCATAATATTATATTTTTTAAAAAGTGTTTTGAGGGTGTCGCGCCGTCTTTCGATTGGGCCCCGGAATTAGGCTTCGACTTAGGAAAATGATATGGAGTCGCCACCGATCATTTATTTTAAACCAAATGGGTTGATCGGATACCCTATTTCTTACCTGATCTGCGTCTTTTCAAATATGTGTCGGATTCGGGAATCGGTTACAGACAATGAAGGGTTAGCACCCTTGAACTGCCCTTTCGGTACTATATAATTTCCAGTTGTCTTACATTAAGAAAATTACAGGTTTAATTAGAAAATATAACAATTGATCCGAATTATTTACCTTTGATTAACTTAAAAGTGTACCCTTAAGAAACCAAGAAATATGTTAGATAAAAAATAATGAAAAAAACTAGAGACAATTAAATAAAAACAAATGAAATGCATGACATAATATGAAGAAAAAAATAAAAAAAAAATGAAAAAGATAAAGTAAAGGTAAAGGTAAATAAAAGTAAAGAAAATAATGATAAAGAAAATAAACGTGATAAAAATAAAGGTAAAATATAGAAAATAAATAAAGGGAAAAAGTAATAAAATAAAATAATAAAATAAAGATGAAAAAATATGTAAAATATATA